CCATTACGCTTTGTCGGCTTCGGGGTCGGAGTAGTTGGCGATGAAGTTGAGGATGGAGCTGTCGTCGCCCTCATACGGCGTGGTGGTGTCGAACTGCTCATCCTCAGGCACCTCGTCGGTCTCGTCGGCCGCATCCTCCAACTCGCTGTCGTCCGACATGCACAGCCGGCAGTCGATGGGGCACTCGGCACCGGTGGCCAGCTCCTTGCCGTCGTACGCCACGCCCGGCTTGGCCGGGTCGTCGAAGCGCGTCTCGCAGCCCTCGTCCAGCTGCACGCAGCATTTGGTGCAGCCCTCCTCGGATGGACTGCCGCAGGGCTCCGTGAAGCCGCCGATGGTGCCTGTGTGTGTGTGAGAGGGGACAGAGAGACGTGTGTGTGGTGGGGCCGAGCAGATCGAATCGTGAGAGTTTCTTTTGGCAGGTGGGGGCGACGGATGTGTCTTCGGTGCATGAAGCGGGTTTGATGCAGAGGGTGACGGCGCTGGCCTCGTCGCACTCGCACTCCTTGCACTTGTTGACCAGCATCCGACGGCAACCGTCGGGACACTCCAAGTCCTCGGGATATGTAACCTCTACAGCCTCTTGACCTGCACACACCACACCACACCACATCACACCACCACACACACGGAGGTCCGTCATGGTTGCGGCCCTCCCCCCTCCCTCCCTCCCTCCCCGCACCGACCTGCCGGCTTCTTATCCTCAAACCCCGGTGCGTATTTGATGCAGTAGTTATCCCCCTGGTCGTCACACTCGTCGGGATTGGCGTCCTTGTACCAGCGGATGACCCCCGGGGTGCCCTCCTCGGTGGTGCAGGCCTTGAGGCCCGCCTGCTCGCTCGGGCAGATGCTCTTGTCGTCACACGTGGCGCTGCACCGGGTGCGGCTGCAGCCGTCATCGTAGACCTCGCAACCGCGCTCGCACACCAACTCCTGGTTGATGTCTGACCATAAGAAGAAAGGCAGCGCAGCAATGAGACACACATACAAATGGATGGATGGATGGATGGATGGATGGATGGATGGAGAGGGGGGGGACGAGTGACCCCTCACATCTTTCCACGGCACCCCCCTACTGACCACGGCAAGGCTCGCCCTCCATCTGTTGGACGCAGTCTGGGAATCGCTCGTCAGGGTCTAGTGCGCAGTCCTCCGCTGTGGTGTTGGGCACACTGCACTTGGTGAAGTCCAGGTCGCCCTCCGAGTTGCACGGCCACTGACGGCACCCATCTGACCATACACACCACGACACCCACCCGCCACCACCATGGAAGATCTCCCCACATTCCATTTCTGCATTTCTGCCCCATTTTCCGCTCACCGGAGACCATAGCGCAGCCCTCGGAGCAGAAAAACAGGTCCTGATGGAAGGGGGGGAGCGTGTGGGTGGACGGACGGCACAGATCTGTCGGTGTGTGGGGTGTGTGGCTTACCTCGTCGCCTTCATATGGGGCACAGAGGTCCTGGGCTCGGGTGGCCAGCAGGAAGGGGAGGGTGATGAACGCAAGAAGCAAGATCCACGCCATCCCGGTCGCAAAAGAGTATGGAAAATGCACTTCCGCCTACCTATGCCACTTCGGGCCCCAGCTCCGGGCCCCAAGAAAACTTAAGGAGATCTCGCAAGACAACTTCGGAGATCTCGGTGAAGGACAAGTCGCAAATCCCTCAGGTAGTGCTTGAGCGTCGCTAAGACTGCAATTGCTCCTCTGGTCTCTAAGCTCGCAAAAAGAAGCCAAGCTCGCAGATGACCTCTCCATCAGTCGAGAAGAGACCTCGGCCCGACCCGATCTCAAACTGGTCTTTATAAGGGTCGTTGCAAAGTTCGTTGCGGCAGCACAGTGCTTTTTGCTGTGAGAGTGTTCGGGCATTGAAGGACGTAGTATGGGGGAGAGGACGATAGAGTTCTTCCGCGAGCAGTCAATACTGCTCACTGGGGCAACCGGCACTGTGGGGCAGGTGCGCACAACACTGAAAAGGCGAACCCCTGCACTGCACACACACCAGTGCTGGCAGGCAGCTGTGCATACCTGTCTGTCCTTTCGTTGTGTGTCGTATTCAGGTAGTGCTGGAGCGTCTGCTCCGTTGCGCACCTCCCCGACGAGTGTATCTGCTGACCCGCTCCCGCCCCAAAGCTTCAGGCGCTCAGCGCATCCTGGACCTGCTGCAACAGCCGCTCTTCTCGGCCGTGCACAGGCTGTGGGAGGGAGAGGGGGAGGGGGAGAGAGAGGCACACACCGGCAGTAGTGGCCCCGCTGCATCAGAGTGCACGAGCGGCAGTCGGCATAGCAATCGCTTCTGGCGCGGGAACAGGGGGAGTGGCGCCGAGGTGTGTGGTGTCAGTGGCTGTCGGCCTGCGCCTTTGTCGACCTGTCGTGGGTGCGCTCGTCGGACGCCCGAAGATGAGATACTGCATAGATTCGGCATACAGGTCATGGACGGAGATCTGCAGAAGGTACTTTGTGTTTTGGTCTGTCGATGAATGCACAGCACACAAAGGACAGACACCTGGGTCAGTCGCCTCTGTGTGTGTGGTCTGTCAGGATAACCTGGGTCTGTCTGAGAGTGACCTTGACACACTCAGGGCCAACGTCACGGGTAGGGTAGCAGCCAAGCCAAAAAGAAAGAAAGAGAGCTCTCCATGGCTGTCTGTCTGCTGTCTGACTGTTTTCCGTGTTGGCGCGTTTCTGGTCGGTCCATCGACCCACCCATCCATCGATTTGTCAGTGGTAGTTAATTGTGCTGCGAGCATCAACTTCGACGACCCCTTCCCCCAGCTCTTCGAACAGAACGTCAGCGGAGCCTTGCGCGTCCTGCAGCTGGTGAGTCAGTCAACAATCGCACTGTATCTGATCTGTATGTCTAGAAGTGAATCCGCTCGTTTGTTCGTTTGCCTGTGGGTGAATACCTACGTGTCAGGCGAGGGCCTGCGATGGCGTTCGGTCTTCAGGGTGTTTCGTCCATGTGTCGACCGCGTACGCCAATTCTAACAGAAGGTACACGCACACACACACACACACACACAAGCGCCTGGCTGGCTGGCTGGCCGGCCACGTGCCCCCTCGTGCATTGCCTCCATCAATGTGTGTCGGCGGCTGACATCATTCAGGGGTGTGATTGAGGAGAAGCTCTACGAGTCAGACATCGACCATGAGGTGGGGCCAGACACACACAAGAGATTCGGCACGAAAGAGCAATCATGCCGCCTGTCCGTCTGTTCTGCTGTCTGTCACTGTGTGTGCAGCATACGTTCAGCGAGCTGAATCGCACGACCGGCGAGGAACACCAAAGGCTGGCAGAGCAACTCAGAGGTCAGTGCATGGGAGAATGGGGACACCACAACAAGCACGGCAGCCCACTGCCACTCTCTGTCTGTCTGTCTGTCTGTCTCAGTGCATTACGGTCATCCGAACAACTACACCTTCACCAAGTGGCTGGCCGAGCACCTGATCGGCTCACGCCACGGCGACCTGCCCACGCTCATCATTCGGCCATCCATCATCGGATCCACTTACAGGACGCCATTCAACGGATGGTCAGTCAAGTCAGGGCACACACTCATTGAGGAGTGAGTGGAGTGGAAAGGGAGACAGACCACAGCGGCCATCGCTGTTCTGCTCTCTGCGTGGGTGTGTATGCAGGACGTCAGCTCCGCAAGGTTTTGGCGCGTTGGTTGCCCTTGGAGCCTTCGGCGCATTCCTCAGGCTCCCCAGCGACGGCAAGGCTATCGGTAGGAAGGAGATGACAGAGGCCGATGCCGGCCGGGGTTTGTGTCCATCTTGTGTGTGCGTACAGGCGACGTGATTCCCGCTGATTACGTGGCATCGGCGTCACTCAGGGCCACCGTGCAGATGGCAGGTATGCTGCGCACGCATGGATGGATGGGCACAGATGGTGTGGGCAATGTCAATGGTTTTGATCCGTCCGTCCGTCCGCCCTTGACCTCCAGGTCGTGTGGGTCGTTTGGAGGTGATGCATGTGGCGTCATCGCATGCCAACCCTGTCACATGGTCAGTGGCCGTCAGGCACACCCTTGCACCTGTCTGTCTGTCTGTCTGTCTGCTTCGTGTGCCTGAAAATGTGTGTGTGTGTGTGTGTGTGTGTGCAGGAGTGAGTTGAGCCGCCAGGCTGTCAAGGGTTTTGACAAGTTGCGCATGTACCAAATCCCACAGCAATACATGATCAGTAAACGCAACACACACGCCACACGGACGGACAGAGAACAGGCAAGCAGCCAACATTGCTCTCTCTGCCTATGTGTCTGTCTATTTATTTGTCAGGCCCGCGTTGTGTCTACACCTGGTGCTCGTCCTCCTGGAGATACGCTCTCATGCACGTACGTCACGTCGGATTGCACAATCGGCCACGCGCCAACACAGCAGAGATATCCTAAGTGTGGGTGTCCTGCCTGTTTATCAGGCGTTAGACGATGCGGCCCTTGTGCTGGCTCAGCTGCTGGTGTCGCTGCTCGGTGTAGTCTTCCCGGCACTGGGCAAACAGGTGGGTGGGGCTCACCCTCCCTGCATGGCACATCCATTTGTGTTGGTTGACGGGGCCGCGTGTGTGTGCAGCTGTCCAAGCCTGTCAGGTTTCTGTGCCGTCGACAGAATGTGTTGAAGCTGCTGCACCATTTCATCTGCAACCAGTGGATATTCAAAACGGACAAGGCACGCCAGCAAACACGACGCACGGATCATGTAGATGAGAGGGCGGCAAGGCAAGCATTGTGTTGGTTGGTTCGTCCTTGCAGATCCGAGAGCTTGCCCACCGCGAGCATGATCCCGATTTCCCCCTAGATGTGGAGAACATCAAGTGGTACGCAGAGAACACAAACATTCCGCTCGGATGCACAATAGATATCCTTTCTTGTTCCAGGGAGCCGTGGTGCATCGACTATGTCGAGGGCCTGTGTCGCTACTCCCTCATACCCACACTGGAGCGCATCACCAAACGCGAGAAGGAGCAGGCCACACACGCCCCAGACAAGCCCACCACCACCACCACCACCCATCGAGACACAGACAGAGATAGGGATTCCCCGTCCAGCACGAGCACCAGCGCTACCACCACCAGCAGCACGTCCCTGGGCATGTGCAATCCCTGCTGCCAGAGCAGCAACCACCCGCCAGAGAGCCCTCCACCCTCCCCATCGCCCGTGGTGGAGAGCGATGAGTCATCGGAGGGAAAGGGGAGGAGTGATGGCGCGCCCCTGATGTCCAGCAGGAAGATCAGTGGGACTACCACAGAGGGGGACACGATGGCGCTGCCGTCGGATGTGAGCAATGACAGCATCGAGCGGGCGTGTTGCTAGTGGTGCTCGCGTGGAGGCCGCCGGCCTTGCTCGACAGCGTGTGAAGAGGAGGATGGAGTGTGTATGAGAGATACATGCGGAAAGGGCCGAGGGGCTGGTTTTGATCCCGTTTTGATCACGTACGTGCATCTCCCTCTCTGTGTGTGTCCACCTGTGATAATTCGAACGGCAGAGAGACAGTTGTCTGTCTGCCTTCTGTCATGTATGTCGATTCTGCCATCTCTCTTGAGTACACACGTGGCTATTTAATTCTCTCTCCTCTCTGTATACAGTACGGACTGGAGCACATGTATATACCTGCATGAATTCTGTTAATCACAGATCCATTGAGTGTTGGCCCCCTCTCTCTCTCCCTCCTCCTCTTCTTACTCACGAGTCTTACTTTCGTCTACGCGTCTCGTCTTTAGTTGTCTGACCGACTGGGCAATTTTTGCGCCAATCTTGGCTTTCTCCGAACCGTCGGCGAGTCGAGAACTGCATGTATAGCACACGAGGGTGGGTGGTTGGGTGTGCGTGAGTGGGACAAGCATGAGTTGTGGCCACTGAATCAAGCACGGAGTCACTGACATGACCTAGAGAGCAGCATACTGGGTTTGCGCCTGGGTTGTTGGCGGTTCCAGTGTCACCCTTGATGCGTTGATGGATTGTGCAAGCAACCAAGCATTATGAGCTCTGTTTGCATTCTCTTGTCCGTGCGCGTCCACTCTCATGCCTCGCTGTCAAGCTCTCCTTTTCGTAAACACATGTCATGGGGGCGTCCTGGGGGTTTGCCGTCTCCGAGCTCCTTCTCGAAGCGGAAGCCATGCATCTCTTCGCCTCTTCGCTCCTCGCTTTGCTCGTCGCTTCCGCCGTCCCGCCCTTCCAAGCAGCCACCGTCTGCAGCGGGCAGCGCAATGAGACAAGTACGCGAAGATTTGCACTGCAATGTGCATCGCAGACCATCTTGCTCGATGTCTTTGTACGTGCAGGTGCTGCTCTACGTTCAGTGAGAGGTCCAGATCGGCCGTCGTTCCTTTCCAAGGGCTCCTCGCTCGTCAAAGACGACGCTAGCTCATCCGGTCCCGAAGAGTTCGAGACTGACAAGTGCGGGCGGTTCATCAATGATCAATGGAACGAGAAAGTGAGCAGCGTCATCCATATATCTTTCTCTGTGTGCCGGTCTACACGACTCTGTATCTCCGCCTGCCTGTCTGTCTGTCTGTCTGTCTGTCTGCACAGACCTTCACCTGGCAGAAGTGTGAGCAGGCCGCTCCTTGGGGGATTCTAAAAGACACAGAGACTCTTGTACATCTGTGGTGTGCTGCAATGCAGGCACTTTTGCTCCGTTCGTCGCTTCCCTCTCGGAGCCCCTGCTATCGTTCAGATACGAACTGGATAGGGAATTCGAGCCCAAGTGGTATTATGGATATCAGCCGGCACCCCTAGGCTATTACGAAGTATGAAAATGGAGGCACAGGTAAGACATTCGAAGCACTCATGAGTGCACACGCGACCTTCATCCATCGTCACTCTGCTGCTGTCTTGTCGTCGAAACCAGGAACTCTATTGCTTGTAAGTGGGAATCGACAGGTGCATACGCCTTTCATCCTGCATTGTCATTGGCAGTCTGATGAGCCCTCGTCTGAACTCTAATCCGCCGGGGAGGGAGAACGAAGTGATCATCGCGTAGGCGATATAACATGTCATTCTCTGTCGACTCACAGCTTGTCGCTCATCTCAGCGGCTGGCACACCGACCTCGATACACCCCCCTTGGGTTCCCACGACCCGAAGAGAACACTGGATACGTCTTGGGGCATCTCGTTTTTACGGTAAGCAACTCATGTGTTGTGGCTTTGTATTCCTCCGACTGAACGTGAGCAGGGCGTCAAAGTGTATATACTCGGCTACGGTAAAAAGCAGAGAAGGCTCTCATTCTGCCCGCAACATCCGATGCCTGTGTCGTGCTTTATAGAGATGGCCGCTCAAGTGAGCGTCGGCCGATTTTCAGAGGAATACCAAACCAGGCGCGAGACCATGAATCGACTCTGAGAGCTCGATATCCTCTATTTCTCCGACTGGTCGGCTGCGCCAGTCGCCAAATCAGAAGCCTCGCTATGCCATGTCTCTCACAACTCTCACAAATCTGTGCAGGGGTTATGCTTCATACAAGGACGACGATACTGAGTGCTCCTACAAGGTTTGGCATCATCTATTTGTATGTATTATCGGTTCTTCTCTTTGATCTGTGTGAGTCCAGAAGCCAGGTGATAACATGGAGGCAATACGGACGGCACACGTAAAGAATGTCATCATCAACAGGGAAATCGCTTATGTTGGCGGTATTTAAAGTTGTGCATTCAGCTGATACACTCCGGCAGATTGTATGTGCCTGTTGTAGGGATTGACATTTATACTGACAAACTCCAAACATCTTCACATTACCGCAACCACATGAAGCGGAGATCCGCTAAGAAGCACCATCATGACACTCAGTGCCGAGTCACTGGCAAAGCGGCTGCGGACATCGCATCTGTGCACATCAATCGGTGCGTTATCTCTTGGTTTCCTCTGCTGCTGCCTCATGTTCTCTCTGCCCCTTTACCGCCGTTCTGGTGTGTGCCAGATGAAGAAAAGGATGCAAGACCCTCAAAGAAGACTTCGGTGCCTACAAGCTTACGAGTCTGTTTGCAGATCGAGAAAAAACCTTCGAATTCATGGTAGACACCATAAGCAGAAAGTTAAAACCACGGTTCTCCTTTGCAGTGCCAACCCAACAACTTGCCGCCCACTGCCGACGAGTGGGAAGAAGTTTCGGATGTTCATGAAACTTCACGTGGCGACAGACTCAGGAACATCAATCGCTCTCTATTGGGAGACAAATGCGCAAGTGCAACTGGCGCGACAAACGCTGAATGCCGTGCGCTTGTGACTGGCGACTGGTACTGGCTAAGAAATGCAGGCTACTCTTATCCCATGTAAGTAGAGCCGACAAGTGTCTCCAACATACACACGGATAAACATTTGTTGTTCGGTGTCTTCTTGTGTATATTCAGCACGACCATTTACGACACCACTCTGAGACTCATCGACGGCGCGGAGAAGGTTTCACTTTATATATATAGAGAGCGCATAGAGGCGCCCTTGGTAATTCCCCTTCTCACCTGGTTGATGTCTCTGTCTGTTGCCATCTGTAGTACGTCTACATCGAGAGTCAATACTTTATTTCGAGTGCCTTGGTCAACTGAAAGAGGCAGATCATCGACATGCCTGACGACTGATGTCTGCTCCCTCTGCTTATCACTTTCAGCGCCCCTTTTCTCCGAACCCAGATGGAATAAGTGATCCGCATGATTTCATACAGCCGAAGTTCGAGTCGGCCTTCGGTGATTTGGAAGCCGACCTGCCGAAAAGCTGTACGAAGAGCTTTCTTGTCAAGAATCGCCTGGGCAAAGTTCTGTATAAGTAGGTGAAAGAAGAACTTTGCGATGATAAATGAGTGTTGTTTCTCGATTGTTCAGGCGCATCAAGCGAGCAATCGAGGAAGATGAGAACTTCTCGGTCGTTCTCGTGACATCAATGTCCGCAGAAGAAGCGATTGTAAGCCACACAGGCGCATGAATGTCTGCTTTGACACAGCTTTATTACCTGCGCGTGCCTTCAGTTGTTTTACAACCGATATTTCACCCTCTTTCGTATACTCCGATATCCTACACAGCGGCTGATGGGTGCTCAAAAGGGCTGCATTGTGAATTACTGACCTCAGATAAGGATTGCGAGCTCATTCCGGCCCTGGAGAGAGTTCTGGAGGACACACGCAAGAAGAACGCTAAGACGGGCGCCAGAAAAGCGACCAACAAACAACTGAAAGACTACTTTACTGTTCTTTTCCACGTAAGGCGCCTGATTGTTGTGTCTTCCACTTGAGCATGTGTGCGTCGTCGTCTTTTGTACACATCAGGGCCGAGTTGACTTTGCCTTGTGAAGTCAGGAACAGAGAGTTGGCTAAGAAGCTTCTTTACGGAACGAGACCAGAGTTCAAGAGTTCGAATGGAGTCATCGTCTTCTACAATACATACGTCCACAGCAAGGAAAGAAGGACACTACAATACCATGCATCTCATCATGTGTCTACGCTGATTTCTTCCTCTCTCTCTTCGCGGCTATGTGTGCAGGCAATGATTGTGGATGGAGAGTATGCGATTGTAAGCAGTAGCGGACGATGAGCTAGCTGCTCAGACGCTGCAAGTGTTTCTTTGTTTTGTTTGTGTGAAGATTGGCAGCGCCAACATGAATGACCGCTCGATGCTCGGGTCCGGCTTGACTTGTGTGTGCACGACTAGAGTGTGCGCCTTGTCTCTGTGATGGCATCAGATACATGGACCTCGAGACGGCCATGGAAGTCCGCGGACCGGAGGCCGTCAAGTCGTTCCGCGATCAGCTGTTCAAGCCCAAAGTACACAAGAGGATCGCTCCAATGTAAGCACTCTCTTTGCGGATCTATGACAAGTCGACACATTCTCGTGCGTTCACCTATGCGTGTCTTTGCAGCTACGCACAGGAACTCCTCGATAAGCTCGACAAAAAGCCTCACGAGCTTGCCAAGCTCTTCCACCAATCCACCGAGTTCAACGCAAGAGTCAGCCAAGTTGCACGCATCGACCCGTCTGAGCGGCTGGGGCTATCCCCTTGTGTCTCCGCCTTGTTCGGGTCCCTTCAGGCCCTTTACGGATTGACGCGAGGCGGACTGACACGTTTCACAATTCTGCCTCACGACCCTCTGGACACGAACTTCAAAAAGCAGTACGATTGATGGCGGCACAACAGTCACTGCTTGCATGCTGGTGTTTGGTTTTAGCCGCTCCATCTTTGAGACGAACTTCACCTGGACGGGTGGAATTTCAAACGAGATTGTCGAGTACGCCCTCTGTGAGCGGCACGATATATGGTCTGCATATGGTGCATTCATGTGAATGTCTCCTTGGTGCGACCATGCAGGCAACAAGGTCTGGCTGCTACAGCCGGGTGACCAGACTGCGAAGGAAAACCAGCTGCGCGACCGTGTGGAGGCCATCAGCCAACTGTTCCCCTGGCACATCTGGTGATGCATTTTTTATGAGAATAGGTGAAGCAGATTTATGTCTATACTTCTGCATCATGTGACTTATCCTTTATGGAATTTTCCACTGTCCAGCATCTTCGGCAGGAGAGCCGGCAAATACAAGTGAGGATCGACTCGCAAATCGACGCCTGACTGATTCAATAACTGACTCGCGTCTTTGGTGCTATGTCTCTTGGTTTCTGTCTGCTTGCAGGGCGATGATGGATCGGACGACGATGGATGGCAATGCAACTTATATCGAGATGTCAGAGGAGGTTTGCCCTCACGACAACGATGCCAATGGCATACAACTGAAGCAGTCAGCTGGAGGAGAACAGGAGAACACCGATTTGTGATTGTGATCGTGATGCATGCGCATATACAGCATATACAGATGCAAAAGCTGCCAACCCGGCCAGTTGTAAGGGAGGACAGCAGAGCAGACGCAAATTGACGTAAAGGATAAGTCACAAATGACAAACTGCAGCCCGCATGAAACTTGTGCCCGAATGGGCCGTCCACTCACCATTGATGCGCATCATGGTCGAGTGGCTCGAGCAGTAAGGGTGTTAAAGATCGAAAACGACGTAAGTACACACATCCACCCCACCGCGGAGACAGATGTATGGATCCCGCACGCCAATGTACATGTCTCTCACATGGCCATTCTATCTTTCATCAAGTAGTATTCATCAGCAGTATCGGCAACAAATCTCTGCAGCCTCCGCGACTGCTGATCCCTTCTTTAATCGTCGTCCGGTGTGCGTATTTTGTATGAGTGACATGTACCTCATCGCTTTGGTAAGCCTATGGCCATGATCGCATGCCGTGCTGTACATTCAATGTTCACACAGACGGAGGAGAAGGTACGTGTGTGTGTGTGTGTGTGTGGCAGGCACACAGACGGACGCTGATCACGAGCAAACGAAGGCATTCATTGTCGCACTCTCGACGAATTAGTTCCGCGTACATATGATAGACACAGACAGACAGAGAATGGTCCACAACGAGTCGGCGCTAGTCGCACTGTACACGCAAATCAGCACACCGTCGAGCTGATCGACCCGCCCGCCCGCCCGCCCCGTAAGTCAGTGTAGTCAGCCCATTTACGCGTGTCCTCTATGTATCGCTCAATGACGAGCAGCGAAGCAGCCCCAGCTGCCGACAGCATTCTTGCCCGAACCGTTCATTGTCGAGGAACCGACTAAGTGACCTCTGCGCATCGGCCCGCATGGCGACCATCTCTGGGTCGTCGAACCGCAGGATGGCGGCCCGCATGCACTCGGCAAACTCAGCTGGCGAGTCGCACAGGAAGCCAATCTGCCGGCCGTCGTTGAGCGACGGGTTGAGAATGTCGTCTCGCGGGCCGCCCGAGTTATGAGCGATGACCACCAGGCCGGCGGCGAGGAACTCGATGAGCGATATGCCGAAGTGCTCGCTGACCATCGTGTGCACGGCCGCCTTTGCCTGGTGGAGATCGTGGATCAGTGTGTCCATGGGAGCGTTGAGGTGGAAGTGAACCCGGTCGTCAACACGCCTCTGCCGACACAGTGCCCGCAGCTGGCTCACAATCCGCTCGTCGGCCTCGTTGCGCGTCGACCCATAAAGATGCAGCTCAGTGTCCTGGGGAAGATGCAGCTCAGTGTCCTGGGGAAGCGGCGGGCTGTCACTGTCAGCCAACAGGCGCGCGAAGGCCTCGACTTGCAGTTGGTGGTTCTTCTCTGGCCGGAACTGAGCCACAGACACAATGCGATTCCGCCGGCTGTGCTGCGGCTGCGGCTGCCCTTTCTGCGGCTGCGGTGGCACTTTGAAGGCCGCCAGGTCGCATGGCGGGTAAACAACCTTGACGGGGACGCCCCAAATGTGTTCGATGTGCCGCTGGGTCCATCCTGAGTTGACAACACATCGGTCGGCACACCTGCCTGCCCAGCCGTAGAGCCCGGCCATGAGCCGGTAGTAGGCCACCTTGCTGCGGGTTAGGGCCTGCGAGGCGGCGATGAAGGCCGCGTTGTTGTAGGCAGCCGTGCGAGAGGCCACAAGAGTCAGCATGTCGGTGCTGATCGTCGGATAATGCACATAAGCCGACACCTACATCCACACAGAACAGGTAGGTGCTCAGTCGATGAGTGACTGATGCGGGGGGCGTGCGTGTGGTCGTCTGGTGTGTGTCGGTCCACCAGTGCACTTACTTTGCATCCGGCGAGGTACTTGGCCACCGGGAATGAGAAGGCAAAGCCCGTGGTGTCGACAAACACCGAGGGGCATCGCTGCAGCAGGGCCCGCAGGGCGAGCAGTGCCGAGCCAGCGCTCTGCCCCAGCAGAGTGAACCTGGGGTAGCTCCGCGCCTCCACCAGCCAGATCCACCCCACCCTCACAAACCTGACGCGCGCACACACACACACACACACAGATCGGTTAGTGTTTGTCCATCGCAACACTCATCCACCCATTCCACCCTACTCGATGTGTGAGCCGAATGCCGTCACATCGATGCCAAATCGCTTCTTGACATGACCAAGGATGTCAGCTGACGAGGCCGGGCTGTGTGTGTAGATCAGCACGGGGCGGGAAGTCTTGGCTTCAGCCTGATCCTGATGCTGGCAGACGGCTTTGACAATGCACCACAGGACGCGCTCACCGCCGCCTCCCTGGTCGCAGTAGGGATGGAAGAACCCAACTGCGTTGCGCCGCCGCGTCAGACCGCACCAGAGGCGAATGGCCACGACGGCGGCTGCACAGATTGATAATGCCACGATGACAGCGTCGATGAGGATCTTCAAGAGCATCTCTTTGCCCCAGCAGCAGCAGCAGCAGCGGTTTCCCGCACGGCAGGAGCGATCTTCTGCGGGAGAGCGGTTTCACGGAATAGGATTTCCACAGTGCGAGCTTGACGTACTAGGCGAAGGCCTCGTCTTCCAAAGGGGAGGTGAGATGACGAAGAGGTTCGTTGAGCACACTGCCTGAGGTAGCGGCTGCCTGCCTGCCGGGGTGACGGCCCTGAGGGTGCCGCTGTTGCTCTTCCTGGAGCAGGCGTGGCGTGCAGTGGCGGGCCTCTTGATCAACAAGGCCTTGCCCGTCCTCCTGGGCCTCTCATTCCTTATCCTGTCTTTCGCCCTCCTGCTCTCCTTCATCGCTCTTGCCTGGTCAGCCACTCACTCACACAGACAGACAGACAGACGCAGGCAGACAGGCAAGGAGACCGTCACAGGAGGGGACGTCTGTACTGGTGTTTGTGTCTGCCTGTGTTGTGTTGTGTTGTGGTGACCGTCTCCTCAGGTATGTGGCGTGGCGCCTGGTGTTCTCCCAGCTGCCGGTGGTCAAGGACGCCCTCTTGCAGCACCACATCCACCAGCAGAAGAAGCAGCAGCAGCAGCAGCAGCCGCCATTCAGGCCGAGCAGCGACGCCTCCACCTGCTCGTCTGAGTGGTCGCCCAGCACCACGCCCGTGTGCATCAGCCGGGCCTCCTCGCGCACTCTCTCGCGGGGCGGGAGCGGTGATCGAATCTGAATGAATGGACAGACAGAAAATGCATGGAAGCTAAGCGGATGGAGGCTGTCCGTCCGTCCGTCCGTCCGTCCCTGTGTTTGGTGTGTATGGTAGCGAGCAAGCCTGGTGGGCAGGGCACTGTTAGGCAGGCGAGCGAGGCAACAACTATGTGCCACCCGACGGACAGCAGGAGGGAGGGAGGGGAGACTCACTGGGTGGGTGCCTGGATGGATGGAATGGTGAGAGTATACACACACATATACACATGCAGGCACGTGTGAGTAATGTGTGAGTGGTGGTTGGTTGGTGTTGTCTCTTTCATTTGTCTGTCCGGGGGGCTGTAAAGACTTGGCGGGCTCGTGTGTGTGTGTGTGCTGGCGTGTATATCAGTGAGTGAGTGGTGTGCCATGTGGGGTGTTGCGTGATTGCATCCGTGCTCGTTGCGTATTGACCCTCTGTGTGTGTGTGTGTGTGTGTAGTGACTTAGTCAGCCACCGGCAGACAAGACAGACAGACAGACAGACAGACAGAGAGACAGCGACAGAGATAGAGGGCAGATTCACACATACCCACCATACCTACTTGCTAATGCTCTGTGGACGGTTCGGGGGGCTGTGCGGGATTTTTTCGGGTGTGTAGCTGTGTAGTGTAGATAGGGGGCGCTGATCCATCTAAAGGACAGAAGGACAGACAGACAGCCGGAAGAAAGATATGGCATGCAAGGGAGAAACGCAGAAAAAATCACGCTTCTCTCTGTCCGTAGAAGCGTTAGATAAATGACGGCAGTCGGTCGAGTGTGTATTGGTTTGCGTAGAGTGGCGGGTCGGGCGCTTTTGTTTCCATCCTCCATCCTCAATTGTGTGTGAGATCTGCTTGGAATACGTCGTGAGTCGTGTCGTCGGACACGTGTGCTTCGGTCTCGCCATGCTGCATCGCCATTCTGAAGCATGGGTGGCGGTTCGACGTGGGGAGGGGGAGCATACGATGCGGCCGACGACACGGCACGGCACAAGACAGACAGAGAGAGACACAGACAGTTGTACCGGCAGCTAGCGTAGCGTCAAACAAAGGAGGAATGGATGGATGGAATGGAATGTGACACCTAATTCGAATGTGAGAGCGAAGGCAGGCGAGTGATTGGCGTGGCGTGGTGGGGTGTGCTGCATGGCATCCATCGTGTGTGTGCGGGCGTCGTGTTGTGTGTGTTGCCCATCTATTCGTGCAGTCCGTCAGTCGTGTGTACAGCTGGCCAGATAGATGAGATGAAATGAGCCGCCTTGCGTGTTGGCACTGGTGAACTGTGTCGCGGCCGTTCTTAATGCAACAGCCGTGACAAACGAGACGCGCACAATTGGTTGTATAATATATAAAGCTCAGTGTCATGGTTTCCAAAAGTCTTGGTTGACACCGTCTGTCTCTTGCAAGCGCTTCAAAGGCGTCTCCGCATTCCGCCCGGCACCCTACATCATCGCACGGCGGTCAGATGGCCATACAGACGGAAGTGACCGGGCGGCATGTTACACATCTCCGAAGCGCAGCTGAGACAGATGCACAAGGGACATTTCTCGTACCAAACCACGTAGATAACAAATAAGTCGATTTGTCCCCATCCAGCCACTCTACAATCCCCCCCCTCCCCTCCCCTCCCCTCCCTGAGTCACTCTACTCCATGCCCGTCCTCGGTGCCTGCAGTATCTTGGGCAGGTGGAATGGCGAGGCGCCGGGCGGATGGTGGCCGCGGCGGAACGGCGCTCGGGGGGCAACGGCCTCTGAAACGCACACACACAGCAGAGATGCCTGTGTAGTGACACTGACTGGATGGATGGATGGATGGATGGATGGATGGTGTGTGTGTGTGTGTGCGGACCGTACCTTTCTTGCCTCCTGTGACAGGTTTGATGATCTTGAATTTCTTGAGGGTGCGGGACTTGTTCTCGGCCGTCTTGCCCACGCCCATGTCCTGAACACACACACACACACACACACAGAGAGAGAAAGAAACCGACAAAGTGCACGCACATCTGCCTGTGTATGGCTCTGTGTGTGTCGGTGCTTACATCGAGCTTCTTGTTCCGCTCAGAAGCGACATCCCTGCAGGCACACAGACAGACAGACAGACAACCACACACACACATGCGTCACGCGTCTGTGCCTGTGTGGAGGTAGCAAGGCTACGCTACGCACCTGTCTTTCCATGTGCTCCTGGATAGGCGGATGGGTCTGTTGCCGACGTACTTGTTGTTGACTTCCTTGAGCGCCTTGAGCATGTCCTGCGGGTCGCCGAACGAGGCAAAACCGTACCCCTTGGTCTTACCCGTCCGCTTGTCACGAATCACCTGACACACCACACGAACGACACGCACAGCACACACACACACAGAGAGAGAGAGGAGAGGACGAGATGCCCGTCTGTGAGTCGCTGTTGGTTGGTGGTGGGTATCGAGCTGACCCTGCATTTCTGGAAGGACCGGTACTGCCTGAAGGCGTTGGCGAGGAGGTCCTCCGTCACCTCGTTGCCCAAATCGCCACAGAATAACCTGCACACCCCACACAGAGGGAGAGAGCCGATTGATCAAGTGGCATGACCACGGCCGTGCAGGCTGCCATTCCCTCAATAATCTGATTACCTGTAGTCCTCGTCAGGCCATTCGAGCAGCGACGGGTCGTTCCACACCTTGCCGGCAGCCTTGCGCAGACACTTCTTCTCATCCTGCCAAAGCACACACACACACACATCACTGTCCGCTCTGTCGTGTTGTGTGGCTGACGTACCGCCTGTTTGACGCCCTTGGACGACATGAGGCTGCCGAGGTGCGCGGCCTCCTCTGCGGACATGCCGTCGTTGGGGTGGTGCACGGCTGATGTGGGGAACCCCGACGGACCGACAGGAATGCCACCCAGCCCAATGTTGGGCTGCAGCAACCACCACGGCAAAGAGAGGGAGGGATACACGTCATAACCCACGTATGGCTGGTATGGCTGTGGACAACACTCTGACGTGTCGCTTACGGCGGCAGCGGCAGCGGCAGCAGGCATGGCGGCCATCGGAGCACCTGCAGGCGCAACCAGCGACACACAGCGAGCATTGCCAAGGGTGTGAGAGCCCTCCCGTTGCCCAATCGTGTTCTGGCGTACCTGCCATCTGCATGGCCATCATGTCCATGCCCGGCGGCATGCCGCCAGGGCCTATGGGGAACATTCTGAAGCGATATTCTCCTCTATCAGCACACGACAAGCTACAGACAGCCTCTACAGCGCTCCTGGGAAGAGAAATCAGTCTCTTGCTTTGCGAGCTTTTTCTCAAACGGCTCTCAGTCTGAACGCTGTGATGATGATGGCAGCGTAGGCACACCGCCTCTGCTTACTGACCTTACTATCGCAACTACCTGACAGCACCTTATCGTACTGAGGCCGTCCGCCGCCCACCCACCCGTCCATTGTATCCAACAAACATTCATTCTACGACTGACTGAGGCGAGAGAGAGTGGCAGGCCGGCCGTCTTTTGTCGTCGTTTTTGTATCGTTATTGTTATTGTTATTGCTGCTGCTGGTGTTATCGCAATGCTCCTCTGCCGTGGTGTTGGCAAGGACGGGGAGCGCCCCGCCTTCAGGTGGCGGGGGTACCTCGCCGTCTGCTGCGCACTGACCATTGTGGTGGCCATCTCCCTTGCATATGACAGCCTCTTCTCGAGAAGAACAGGTGCGCATGGCATGGAAGGGGAGAGAAGGGGGTGGGGATGGTGGATGTGTGTCTGTGGTTCATGCAGACGGTGGTGATGTTGGTGCCCCTCTGCGTGGACTGGTGGGCAAGAAGAAGAAGAAAGACCACCACCCTCCGCCCCCGCCCACCAAGCCTGACTACGACATCAAAAAGATCATCATCACCACAGACCCCTACTACGAGTGTCCCGAAGGGTGGGTGCGATTGGCCACACATCCACACACACACACACACACACACACAGAAATGCATTCCAATGCATGTGGTCATCCGCCCGTTCAGGTACGAGCAGGTGTCCGACCACGAGTGTGTGCGGACCAAGGAGGAGAAGCCGAAGCTCAAATGTCCGCCGGGCTATGTCCTGGACCCCCACACCAAGACCTGCAGGGGCAAGGAGCAGATCAAACCTGACTATGTGTGCGACACGGGCTACGAGCCGAGAGGCCACGACTGCTATCGCCAGGATGTGGAGCCGTCGCAGGTCAAGTGCCCACCGGGGTACTACCTCGACGACCACCACTGCGTCAAAGGTATGAAATGGATGGATGGATGGAAGACGCATAACGTTGACCGATTCTGTCCTTTTGGCATACATACAGATGTGGTTGCGCCACCCGAGACTGCCTGCCCGCACGGTATGGTGGGGGAGGGGATGAGACGCGCACGCACGGGTGACCGATAGACAAGATGTGTGTGTGTGTGTGTGTGTGGTTGTGCAGGATATCACTATGTGGACGGCGTGTGTGTCATGAAGGTGGAGACCCACCCGGATGTGCAGTGCCCCTACGGCTACGTCATGGACGAGCACAAGAAGTGCGTCTCCAAGGACACCAGGGAGCCGCTGCTCGAGTGCCCGCCGGGCTACCACCTGGGCAAGGGCGGCATCTGCACCAAAGACAAGGGCACTCCGGTGGAGAAGAGGTGCCCACCCGGCACCCACCTGACACCCGACGGCATCTGCCTCAAGAAACATACCGTCGACGCACATCCGCACTGCCCGAAAGAGTGAGTGAGAGAGGGAGAGAGCTCGGGGGGCACGGACAAGTGGCTGCAGAGATGTGTGTGTGTGTATGTGTGGTGTGGTGTGGTGGATGGGCGCAGGTATACGCTTCACGAGGGGTACTGCTATCTGGAGGAGGACGTCCCCGGCCACGTGGTCTGCGACAAGCACTACGAGCTCGACGCGCCCACGCAGCTATGCACCAAGGAGGACACCACCCACCCCAAGCTCACATGCCCTCACGGGTATACCCTTGACGAGCATGCCAAGAGCTGCGCCAAGACCGTCACCAAGCGAGTGGCAGTCCAGCCACCACCTCCACCCCCTCCGCCGCCCCCTTCCAAAAAGGACATACACGCCCCCATGGCCCACCACACGCCTCACAAGAAAGACACCTACGTCGAGCCCGCCCACACCAAGGAGACCTACAGCAGCGACGACGGCTATGACGCCCACGGTGATCACGGTGATGCGGGTTGGGTGATCCCTGGCGACGGGTCTGGGAGGCGCGAGCTGCAGCAGGAGGGTCAGGATCAAGTGGCGGCGCTGGGGCGGGGGAAGAAGATGAAGAAGACGGTGACGCCTGTGGCGTATGAGACGGTCGAGGAGGTGCTGCACGAGGAGGCCCAGTACACCTGCCCACACGGCTACCAGCTCGTCGGCAAGACATGCACACGACAGCTCACGGCAAAGCCGCACACACAGTGCCCCAAAGGGTGAGTGAGTGGGGAGGACGACTATGCGTCGGTGTGTGTTGGGTCCATCCATTCATCCAACCTATGCGTGCGTGCGTGCGTGCGTGCGTGTATGTGATTGTGTGTGTGCGCAGTATGCAAGAGATCGGCAAGGGTCGGTGTCTGAAGAAGAGCAAGGTCGCGGCGCAGTACATCTGCCCCGACGGCTATGCCGAGAACTTAACCAAGGGCAAAGTCTGCGAGGCCGTCAAACACATCAAACCTGAAATGGTCAGTGACTGAGTGAGACGGCGAGTGGGCGATAGATACGGCATTGGCTTGATCACCATAACTCTCTCTCTCTCCCTCTCTCTCTCTCGTGTGTCTGTGGCCGTGCGTGTCTGCAGCTGTGCCCGCATGGCAGCGTGCTCGACAAGAAGACCGGCATCTGCGAGTACACTGACAAGAAGGAGGCGAAGGAATACTGCCCAGAAGGTACCGATCAACAGGCAACCAAGATGGAGGAAGAGATGACCCCTCGCCCCGCCGATCTCTGTGTGTCTCGTCTCGTCTCGTCTGTTAGGCTACACCCGGCACCACCACCACAAGGGGGAGTGCGTCAAGGTGCTCAAGGAGCCGCCCGTCGTGCACTGCCCAGACGGAGAGCTAGTCGGACACAAATGCATCAAGGTATGCACGCACTATATATAGTTCGATGCACCCGTATCTGTGTCAGTCATCATGTGTGTGTGTGTTGGTGTGATTGATGCACGCGCACAGCGTCTCGAGGAGGAGCCGACTCAGCATTGCCCCGAGGGTTTGGTCTTCTACGACGGCAAGTGCAAGGGCGTCAAGCAGGGCAAGCCAAAATTCCTGTGCCCACCAGGTACTTACGCGCACCCCACCACACACACAGACACACACGCCGCTCCCTCCTTGTTGTCAGGGTACCACCCGAAGCACGGTGAGTGCGTCAAGGACGAGTACGCCCCTCCCCGTCCCGTGTGCCCTGACGGCACCGAGCTCAAGTACGACGTGTGTGAGGCCCACAAGGAGGTGCACCCCAAGACCTACTGCCCAAAGGGCTACAAGCTCGTCAACGGCAGGTGCGTCAAGCAGGAGCACGCCCGCCCCGACGTCCTCTGTCCGCCGCCATACGTCTTCGACAAGAAGAAGCACATCTGCGTGCGTCACGAGATCAAGGCCACCCTGCCCACGGAGGCCGCCGAAGACATCCTGGGGGAGGTGCTGCCCCCGACGCAGGCACCCCAGGCCGTGCAGCCCACGTACGTCATCCCGCTGGCCCCCCCGCCCCCGCCCCCACCAGTGTACATCCCTCCGGCCCCCAAGCAGGTGCCGCCCAAGGAGAAGGTGCCCAAGGTCAAGAAGGAGAAGGTCAAGAAGGTGCACCCGCCCAAGCCCAAGAAGCCCGTCCATGAGAGGGAGGTGCGCTACAAGAAGGTCCATGAGAGGCCCGTCAAGGCCGCCCCCGCCCCCAGACACGAGTACAGCCAGTATGCCGGCGGCCACCAGGGGCTGGGGCAGCACGGCGGCGGCGGCCACGGGCAGGGCCATGGGCAGCTTGGGCGAGGGGCGCTGGACCACCTGCACCAGACAAACGAGTACCACTCAAAGGGATACTAGTGGGTGGGCGAGACACAGACGAGAAGGCGAGAGCATGCAGATGGATGGATGGGGGTCGGTCGTTTTTCTGTGTGTGGGGGGCGTGGAGTGCGCATGGTGGCGGCGGCCCGCTCGTGGGATGATGTTTACCTGACAGACAGATGTGATCGATCGTACCACTACCTGCACATGAGAATTGTACATAGACAAACAGACAGACAGACAGACATTTCGCGAGGAGGTTTTTCGCAAGCAAGCAAGCCGGGTGCGTGTCCATAGTGGTTGACGGAAGCTAGCCAGGCCAGCCCTTGTCCTCTCTCGCCATGCCATGCGTGTGTCGTTCGTTCCGGCGATCGCACATGGATTCATTCTAACACATGCATTCATACAGTCCTTTTTCACTCGTCATTGCTATCCGTGATTTATCAGTGTATTTATTATCCGTCCGTGTGAACAGACGGACGGACAAACACTGTGTGCATCGTGTGGATAAGGTGGGCGAAGGGGGGGGTGGGTGGGGTGGGGTAGAAAGCCCTGCCTGTGAGAGGACCCTTGTGTGCCGAAACACTCACACGGAGACACACAGGCAGACAGACAGACAGACAGACATGAGCAGCCTTTTGCCCGAATGCGCTTGTGGCATCCCCTCTCTCTGTCTGCTGCGGCTGTGCCGTGTCTCTCTGTGTGTGTGGTGTGTGTCATGGCGCACAAAGTGTGTAGCTCTCCGCAGGGCAGGACCGACGCATCGACTCGCTCGGCTCGTGATGCATGCATTCATGGACTCACCCCCTCTCATATCTGAGCGTGTGGACTGACTGACGTATGTGTGGATAGATGGAATAGATGGAGGGGCAATTGTCGGGAACAGACACCCCCCAAAGCACCAACCAAAATGGATGGACAAAGTGTACAACACCAGAATGCGAGAGAGAAAAGCATCGCGCACACACGAGAGGAACAAGCCGCTTTCGGGAACAACCAAACTTGGAACCGACACGATCAGACGTCCTGCCCCCAACACATGGCAAAATTGGTCTGTCTGTCTGTCTGAATGAATGTTTTTGTCGAATGATGCCATCCATTGCGCATACAGTGTGGCCGCTGGCCTGGCGGTGTTTTTGAAAAGGATCCTTCGGCGTCGGGGCGATTCAACGACATGCTCACACACAGTGATGGACAACGTCAAGAAAGACACGGATGTGGGCGGGGGGGGAGTGCGTGGATGGTGTCAATGTGGCGATGCATGGCTGTGAGTGAGTGACTGAGTTGGGTCGGTCTGCGTTTTGGCGGGGAGGCCATGCTAGTCACACATAACAGACAGACAGTGAATACCACGTACCAGACAGACAGACAGACAGAGATGAGACAGGGTCAGTGTGTGTGTGTGAGTGGGGGGGACCAACATGTGTCTGTCGTGGTGGGGCTTCTGCTGCGCCAATCGGAAAGATACAGTACTCGTCGCCAGCACCTCAGCCGACCAGCGATTTGTCACACCACGAGTGCGGTGGGGCTATGACGGGCGCTTTCCCCACAGCGCGGCGGCCCGGTAATTTCCGCCCGTCTATTGGATAGACTAACTGCATGACTGCATGGTGGCAATTGGCGGGAGGTGTGAAAAGAGCAGCAGTGATAGCGGATTGCGTAGCGGATCAGAGCAGCCATTGCATCATTGCTTGCATGAGAGCGCATGGGAGTGCATGTCTTGAGGACCTGGTGCGTGTTGACAGAGGGGGCCTCATTCAACCCACGTACATCCACCCTGATTCACTGCCAACGTCCTCGATCCCCACGATACTCGAGATTTTAAGTACCCCATAAACGAAACCACCACCAACGTCCTCGATCCGACTCTCGAGATTTCAAGATCTGAGCTCGCGGAGTTGTCGTGTCGCTCTTGGCTGGTTGCAGCCATCCCGTTTGCTCTCTGTCGACAGCATGGACAGCATGGAGAAGGCTGCATCCTCTGTCCTGCATCGGAGCCCGGCGGAGCTGCTCCTCTGTCCGTCGGCGCGGGTGATATCAAAACCGAACGGCGGCCACGATAGTTATTTCCATTCCACCACGGCCATGGGGGTCTATGACGGCGTCAGCGGGGTGGCGAGAGTTCCGGGCTGTGATCCAAAGGCGTTCTCATCGGTGAGATGCAGTGGCAGATGCATTTGGATGGATGGATGGATGGATGCATCTGCAGTGATGCACTGCATTATTTGTCCATGGATATCGTATCGATGCATCGACCTGTGTGGTTTTCCGTTGCAGAGGCTGGCGATGGAGTGCAACAAGGCCGAGAAGCACATCACGGAGGCCGGCTACCAGAGCAAAACCCACAAGCGAGCAGCCACGGTGCTCTCCGAGGGCATTTCGGGGCTCAGAAGCTCCGGGTTAGTAAGACCTCCATCCATCCATCCATCCATCCATCCCATCGCTGTTGGCTCTGTGTGTTTGTTTCTGCGTCAGGTTGAGGGGGTCTACGACTGCTGTTTTGTGTACCGTCCACGGCACCAACCTGGATGTCGCGTGCATCGGCGACTCAAGGGTGAGCGTGTACCGGCGCCAGGGCGAGAAAGGCAACTTCGTCGAGATCTACCGCTCCCGCACGACCCACTTCAGACCGCACGACACGTTCAACTGCCCGGCGTAAGTGTTCCTTTGCCTGCACAGGCTGTCCTCCCACACCACACACAAACATGCCCATCCATTCATTGTGGCCGATTTCTGTCTGGTCTGTGTGTTGGTTGACAGGCAAGTGAGCCGCGTGCCGTTGGAGGTGCCAGGCCGCTACCACACCCACTGGTCCCGCGACGCCCCCTTCGCCCCGGCCACCCCCGAGAGTCTGAGAGAGCTCATGAGTGAGGAGACCGTGCGCATCCGTGTTGGCGACATGGTGGTGATGGGCTCGGACGGGCTGTGGGACAATCTGTTTCAGCACCAAGTGGCCCGCATCATCAACAGCACGCACACGGCCACCACGCGCGGCACTAGAAGCAACAGCAGCAGCCCCGTCGCCGTGAGTGAGGCCGTATCTGACGCTCTGGTCAAGGCCGCGTACCAGTGCAGTATCCTGAGGGACATCCTGTCGCCCTTCACACTCGAGGCGCGAGCTCATGCGAGGCGGGAAGTGGCGAAGATGGGACTGAGTGCGCCGCTGGGTCTGAGGCAGGACGCCAGCATGTTGGGCGGGAAGGTCAGAGCAACACTCACATCACTCCCTGCACACATGGATGGATGGATGGATGGCTGTGTACGTGTGTGTGTTCAGCCCGACGATATCACGTGTGTAGCAGCGGTGTGCGTTGGGGAGCGGCCGGCGATTGACATGGCCGTGCGGTGCAGGGAGGGCGAGATCGCCCCGCCAGCCCAGCTGGGCCCCCGTGAGATAGCCAACATGCTCCCAGACGTAAGCACACGAGGACACGCACCACAACGGACTCACACCACTATCTGCGTCTCTGTCTGTGTGGTTTCTATCCTTGGATTCCTTGTCTCTACTGCACTGCAGCTGGTGTACCTGTCGAACATGTCGGTCATAACACACACCACACATCCACCCCACCGTCAATCGGTTTATGACGTGTCTCATTTATTTTGTGTGTGCTGATTTGATTGACATCCATCCATCCATCCATCCATCCATCAGTGACCAGTACTCCCATCTCGTTCGTGTGGAGGGGCGCTCGACAAGCTTCCGCACCAGACAGCTCACTGGCGTGCCCAAGAAGTTCGGTGGCGTGAGCGAGAGACCCAACGTCGGCAGGCTCGTGGGTGCCTCTGTGTCGGCCGCCATGAAAGAGCTGGCTGCCGAGAGGTACGCTGACACGTCCATCACATCACAGCGTATGGACAGCCATG